GGTAACGAATCTTCCAAAGATGCAAATTCTGTAGAAAATCTTTACAATTCGCAGCGAAATCTCGAAGGAACGTGAAATTTCCCACCATTTTTCAATCTCCAGTCTTCTTCGTCGATAGGTATACAAAAAACGATATTTTCTATATGTAGACTCGAGATGCTTAGCTTTTGTGGAGGTTCCAGAAATTGGGTCGATTTTTTCTTATCTAAATTTGTGATTTTTTTGTTGCTTTAGTAGAAATTGCGCATCTCTCTTGATTCTACGATTGTTTTGAGTTATTTAGTTTATCTTTATCTTTATGATTGAAAATGCAATATCTGATTTTTTGTATTTAGAGCTCTTAGTATGAAGAGAGTTTCATAAATGTTTGGTTTTGAGTTTTTTTGGTGATTCGTGTGTGGCAGGAGGGAGGGGGTGGCTAAAGGGAAGAATAAGGGGTTAACAAAATGTCATCGAATTCGATAGATAGAAGTAACAGTTCTCGAAGTTGTTCTACTCGAGGAAGACATAACTCTCGAGTTACTTCACAGGTGCTTGCTGATGCAAAGCTACACGTGAATTTCGAACAATCCGAGCGTTTATTTGACTATTCAGCTTCAGTTGATTTGAACATGCCGAGTTCGTCGTACGACATACCTTCTTCAGCTGTCTCAACTTACCTACAGAAGATTCAGAGAGGGATGTTGATTCAGCCCTTTGGTTGCTTAGTAGTTGTTGATGAGAAAAACCTCAAAGTAATTGCATATAGTGAAAACACCCAAGAGATGTTGGGACTGACTCCATATACGGTGCCAAGTATGGAACAGCGGGAAGCCCTGAGTATAGGAATTGATGTGAAATCACTGTTTCAGTCTCCAGGTTCTTCTGCCCTGCAGAAAGCTGTTGACTTTGATGAGATCAGTATTCTTAATCCGATAACACTTCATTGTAGGTCATCAAGTAAGCCTTTCTATGCTATTCTGCATCGAATTGAAGAAGGTCTTGTTATAGATTTGGAGCCTCTGAGTCCGGATGAGGTGCCAGTGACTACTGCCGGGGCATTAAAATCTTACAAGCTTGCAGCCAAAGCCATTTCGAGGCTGCAGGCATTGCCTAGTGGGAATTTATTGCTGCTATGTGATGTTCTAGTCAAGGAAATTAGTGATTTGACTGGTTATGATAGGGTGATGGTTTATAAATTTCACGAAGATGGGCACGGGGAAGTGATTGCTGAATGCTGCAGTCCAGAATTAGAACCTTATCTCGGGTTGCATTATTCCGCCACTGATATACCCCAAGCTTCCCGATTTCTCTTTATGAGAAACAAGGTTAGGATGATATGTGATTGTTCAGCAGTTCCCGTTAAAGTAGTTCAAGACAAGAGTCTGTCACAGCCAATAAGTCTTTCTGGATCTACTTTGAGAGCTCCTCATGGCTGTCACGCACAGTATATGAGTAACATGGGCTCAGTGGCATCTCTTGTTATGTCTGTAACAATCAATGGTAATGATAGTGATGAGATGAACAGAGATCTACAGACAGGCAGAAGGTTATGGGGATTAGTGGTTTGTCATCACGCAAGTCCTAGATTCGTGCCGTTTCCGTTAAGGTATGCTTGTGAATTTTTGACTCAAGTATTCGGTGTGCAGATCAACAAAGAAGTGGAATCTGGTGTTCTGTGGAAAGAGAAGCGTATTCTACAAACTCAGAGTGTGCTATGTGACATGCTTTTCCGGAATGCACCTATAGGTATAGTTACTCAGTCACCAAATATAATGGATCTTGTTAAATGTGATGGAGCAGCCCTTTATTACAGAGAGAAGCTCTGGTGCCTGGGGGTTACTCCCACAGAGACACAAGTTAGAGATATAATCGATTGGGTTCTCAAAAGTCATGGAGGAAACACTGGCTTTACCACTGACAGTCTAATGGAGTCTGGCTATCCGGGTGCTTCTGTTCTTGGGGAATCAATTTGTGGAATGGCTGCCGTATATATTAGCAAAAAAGATTTCCTTTTCTGGTTCCGGTCTGGCACTGCAAAACAGATTAAGTGGGGTGGTTCAAGACATGATCCTAATGACAAAGATGGTAAACGGATGCATCCTAGATCATCATTCAAGGCTTTTATGGAAATAGTTAGGTGGAAAAGTGTGCCTTGGGATGACATGGAAATGGATGCAATTAACTCGCTGCAGCTAATAATAAAAGGCTCATTGCAAGAGGAGCATTCAAAGGCTGTTGTGAATGTCCCTTCTGTGGATAATAGGGTTCAGAAGGTGGATGAATTATCTGTTATCGTGAATGAGATGGTCCGCTTGATCGATACGGCTGCTGTTCCAATATTTGCGGTTGATGCCTCTGGTGCTATAAATGGTTGGAATTCAAAAGCGGCTGAGGTAACTGGATTGGCAGTTGAACAAGCAATAGGCAAACCTATATCAGATCTCGTTGAGGAAGATTCTGCGACAACCGTTAAAAAAATGTTAGCATTGGCTCTCGAAGGTATGCATATTCCACTGTAAAATGGAAGCTTATATCCTCCTCCAGTCCTCTGTGTTGTTTCAGGCTCCCTTTTATATTTTGTTTTCATTTTTTTTACTGTTTTCGCAGATTTTCATCTGTGCCTTGTGTTCATAATACATAATAGGTAGTGAAGAACGTGGTGCTGAAATCAGGATCAGAGCATTTGGGCCTAAAAGGAAAAGCAGTCCAATTCATTTGGTTGTCAACACTTGCTGTAGCAGAGATACGATGAATAATGTTCTTGGTGTATGCTTCATTGGACAAGATGTTACTGGGCAGAAAACGCTTGTTGAAAACTATAACCGCGTGCAAGGAGATTATGGCAGAATCATGTGGAACCCTTCAACACTCATTCCACCTATTTTTATGACCAATGAGAATGGCATATGCTTTGAGTGGAACGATGCTATGCAGAAGCTCTCTGGGATAAAGAGGGAAGAAGCTGTCAATAAAATGCTTCTCGGGGAGGTTTTTACCTCAAATGATTACGGTTGCCGCCTTAAAGACCATGACACATTAACTAGACTGAGAATAGCTTTAAATGCAGTGAGTTCTGGCCAGAAGAACATAGAGAAACTTTTATTTGGCTTCCACAATTGCGATGGTAGCTTCATCGAGGCATTGCTTTCGGCAAACAAAAGGACTGATATTGAGGGAAAGGTTACCGGGGTCCTGTGTTTTTTGCAAGTACCTAGTCCAGAACTCCAATATGCTTTACAGGTTCAGCAAATATCAAAGCAGGCGATGTCCTGCACCGTCAACAAATTGGCATATCTCCGCCAAGAAGTGAAGAACCCTGAAAACGCAATTTCTTTCCTTCAAGATTTGCTACATTCATCTGGTATAAGTGAAGAGCAAAAGCAGCTCCTGAGGACAACCGTTTTATGCAGGGAGCAGTTAGCCAAAGTCATAAGTGACTCAGACATAGAGGGAATCGAAGAAGGGTGAATATCAGAACTGAGACCTATATTCTTCCATTGTTCTGATTAGCTTGCTAATTCTTATATAGTCCGTTCTAATCTCGTTTGTATTTTGATGGTTACTAAATCAGTTATACCGAACTGGGCTGCAGTGAATTCAGCCTGGAGGAATCCCTGGAAACAGTGGTAAAACAAGTGATGGAGCTGAGCAAAGAACGTAAAGTGCAGATCATCTGCGATTATCCTCAAGAGGTTTCTTCGATGAGACTATATGGAGACTACTTAACGCTTCAGCAAATCCTCTCAGAGACACTCTCAAGCAGCCTAAGATTCACGCCTCCATTTTCGCGTGTCTCATTCAAGGTAATGATGCGGATGGAAGCTATCGGGAAAAGAATGAAGAGGGTCGAGCTAGAGTTCCGGATAATACACCCGGCACCAGGCCTGCCTGAGGATCTGGTAAGGGAGATGTTTCAACCACTGCAGAAAGGAACATCAAGGGAAGGTTTGGGACTACACATCACCCAGAAGCTGGTGAAACTCATGGAAAGAGGAACTTTGAGATACCTGAGAGAGTCTGAAATGTCTGCCTTTGTGATCCTCACAGAGTTTCCCTTGATTTGAAGCAGATGACCTACCTCTCTTAAAGATTTCCAAATAATTGAATAAAAGTGGTGTATCTGAAACTGAAAGTCTTCATTGTTTTACACATAAATAAAGTTAATTGGATGTTATCTTTTAACCAATGCATTATGCATGGTTCTGTTCGTGGAAAGCGAAAAAATGATTTGTGTTTCAATGGGAGGTCCTCTCGAAGGTGCTGAAAGACGTAGATGAGTGTATCTATAACTCTATGACTGAAGCGGATGATTGACCTCTTGAATGCAACCACTTATTGTGTACGCTCCCATTCTATGGCTGGTGAGATTACGTGCAATGTGAATGCAGTTTTGAGAGCGGATTCAAACACATGTGGAGTGTGTTAGGACCAGTGAGTAGTGAAGTGGGTGGTAGACTGTACTCGATCTTCATAGCATAAGTTTCTGCTCTTGTTCGGCCAGGTCTTGTGTTACAAATATGGAATTCAAGAATATGATCTCTGAGAGTAACTCCTTAGACGCTTATTAAAACAATCCGGTCTCTGAAGACTGGTCGAGTCTCCAAAGTTACACTCAGGAGGTAAGCCCATGTTTGAGACTATATGTCGTTTGGTTTTAGTGGAAGAGTACCAAATCGAGTCGTAGGTTCTCTTGAAAAAACGTTTTTTTTTTCTCCCTTAACTCCTCTGGCTGGCTTTGGCCAATTGTCGAACTAGATATGCCTTATGGTTTTTGTCTATGAAATGCTATGTTGAGCTA